CTTAGTCTGGATCAGTCCTGATCTAGGCTCAGGTTTTCAGCTGCGTTACCTGTCACCATGGTAACCGATTCTTCCCCTATTCCTGTCTCTGTAGCCATGGTAACTGACAGCTGAAGAGCTTTAGAGGAGGTTACCCACCTCAGACGGTCTGCAGCGTGAATCTGGTGGAGATCCACTGATCCTGTGGATCAATCAGTTGATTAATCATTGAATCCGATCAGCCTGCTGACATCCTGATGGATCTTGGTTCTGTTTATGTCGGATTAAACCAGGGCGTTGGGAAAGCTGAAAAGCTTGATCCATGATTCTGATTCCTTTGTTCTTCCAGCTTTAGAGGAGACCATGGCTCCCACCGTCCTCCTCCACCTGCCCGTCCTCCTCGCCCTCCTGATGAGTCCAGCAGCTCCTCAAACCATCAGCCCTGCTGTGGAGGACCTCATCCGCAAGAACGCAGACTTTGGAGCCCAGCTGTACCGGGCTGTGGCCAGCCGCACGGATGACAACATCTTTCTGTCTCCTTTCGCGGTGTCCGCAGGAATGTTAGCTCTCCTGGGTGGAACCAGCGGTCCAACGCAGAATCAGTTGATCCAGGGACTCGGCCTGACTGGACTGGAGCCCCAGACTCTGCCAGGTAGGCAGGGTTTCCTATCAGGGTCTGTGAGCCCTGAGGAGGAGGTCTGTTATCTTCTTGTTTTACTCAAACTCTTTTGTTTCTCCAGATGTGTTTCAGAATCTGAGGAACGCAGTTCTCCAGACGACTCCACCCTTGAACCTTCTGCAGGGCTTTGCGGTCTTCCCAGACCAGAGTTTCCAGGTGCCTGCGTCCTTCCAGGATCTGCTTCAGATGAAATATGGTGGAAAGGCTCAGAGTCTGCCTTACACAAACCCTGCTGAGGCCCTCGACATCATCAGCCGCTGGGTCCAAGAACAGTCCAATGACCAGATCAAGGATGTTCTGACCAGCCTGGAGGACCAAACCAAGCTGCTGGTCGTCTCTGCTGCTTCCTACAAAAGTAAGAACCCGTTAGTCGCTGGACAGCGTCCACTGGGGTCACTGGGAGAAATGAGCCACTTAACCCCATGAACTGTTTGTATTGAATAGAATTTTGTCTTCTTTTAGTCCGCTTCAATCCTCCCTTTAACTCCTCGCTCACCCAGAGTGAGCGGTTCTACGTGGACAAGTACCATGTGATCATGGTCCCCATGATGTTCCGGGCCGATAAGTACTTCCTGGCATATGACCGCGGTGTGAAGGCTGGCGTGCTGAAGCTGCCGATGGCAGACGGAGCCGCCATGTTGGTGGTGCTTCCTGATGAAGATGTTGATGTGACGGCTGTGGAGGAGGAGGTGACAGCGGCGAAGATCAGAGCCTGGATTGCTCAGCTGAGGAAGACGTAAGGACCACCCTTCCCCCTAACGGTGTCTCTATCTGTCCTTTGTTTTGGATCCTGACTGGAAGTTTCTCTAATTAGGAAACTGGAGGTGCAGCTTCCTGTCTTCCTACTGGAGCAGACCTACTCTCTGAAAAATATGCTTCAGAGGCTGGAAATCACTCAGGTGTTTCAGGATGACGCTGACCTCAGCAACATGGGTGGGGCTTCAGGAACAAAACTTACTGAGGTAAGGGAGAGAGGTTGACAGATAGTAAGTCTGATGGAGAGATGGGATCCTCAGGAGTAGTTAGAAGATTAACAAATGTGGAAACCATCTTCATGAATTCCTGTATTTATGAAGGAGTACTGTCTACATACCAGATGCTGGTATTAAGGCTAGAACTTTTATATCTGCTGATGTTTATATTGTCTTGCATTTTTTCAGAACATCATGGTCCTTCTGTAACAAGTAGACTGGTTATCTAACCTCTTGTCCCATTCAACAACATTTTCTCCTGTAATGTCATGTGTCCTCGCCCTGTCCTGTAATATCTCAGCCCATTCTGTGAGATTTTTACCCCCCCTAGAACACCTCACTCTGTCCCAAGCTGTCATCTTACATCTTACTCCATCCTGCAATGTGACGGAACAAACTGTTACCGGACAAGGTCCAGTAACGTTTGTTCCGTCTTTTAGATCTCCCCCTGTCCTTTAATATCGCATTCTGTAGAATGTCATGCCATCCTGTTAGATCCCACCCATCCTGTAACATTTTGCACTGACCTGTAATATCTCTCACTGCTCTTTTAAATTTCTTCTAAAACCATAACATCTCCCCCATCCTGTATCATCTCATCCCAACACTTCTGGTCTCATTCTGTAAAATTTTGTTCTGTCCTGTAACATTTCACACTGCCCTATAACATTTCGCCTTGTCCTGTAACATTTGCCCCATCCTTTAACATTTCCAGTCGTCTTGTAACATTTCCCTTCAACCTCTAACATTTCGCCCTGTCTTATAACATGTCATCTCCTACTGTAAAATTTCACCCTGTAACATTTCCCATCATCCTTTGATATTTCCCCCTGTGCTGTAACATTTCACCCTGTCCTGCTACATTTTGCCCCGTCCTGTAACATTCCCCCCTGTCCTGTAACATTTCGCCCCGTCCTGTAACATTCCCCTCTTTCCTGTAACATTCCCCCCTGTCCTGTAACATTTCGCCCCGTCCTGTAACATTCCCCTCTTTCCTGTAACATTCCCCCCTGTCCTGTAACATTTCCCCCTGTCTTGTAACATGTCATCTCCTACTGTAAAATTTCACCCCGTAACATTCCCAATGGTCCTGTAACATTTCACCCCGTTCTGTAACATTCCCCCTGTCCTGTTAAATCCCCCTCGTCCTGTTACTTTTCCCCCTGTCCAGTAACATTTTGCCCCGTCCTGTAACATTCCCCGTCATGTATAATTCCCCCTCATCCTCTTACATTTCCATCTGCCCTGTAACATTTTCCCTGTCCTGTAACAAATCCAATCGCCCCCTGTAACATTTTGACCCGTCCTGTAACATTTCCAATCGTCCTGTAACATTTCCCTTCAACCTGTAACATTTCCCCCTGTCTTGTAACATGTCATCTCCTACTGTAAAATTTCACCCCGTAACATTCCCAATGGTCCTGTAGCATTTCACCCCGTCCTGTAACATTTCCCCCTGTCCTGTAACATTTCGCCCCACCCTGTAACATTTCCAATCGTCCTGTAACATTTCCCCTCGACCTGTACATTTTAACCTGTCCTGTAACCTTTCGCCCGTCCTGTAAAATTTTCTGTTGTTCTGTCACATTCCACCATATCCTATTACATTTTGCTCTGTCCTGTTACATTTCACACCGCCTGAAACATTTTGCCCTGTCCTGTTACATTTCGCCCATCCTGTTACATTCCGCCCCATCCGGTAACATTTCAATTGGACCGGTAACTGTTCGCCAAGTCCTGTAATATCTTATCCCATCCTGTAACATTTTGCCCAGTCCTGTTACAGTTTGCAACATCCTGTAACATTTTGCCACGTCCTGTAACATTTTGCCCTGTCCTGTAACAGTTTGCACTGCAACATTTCATATTATCCTGTAAGAATTTCACCCCTCCATGTAAAATATGACTCTGTAACATTTTGACCTCTGAAACGTTCCATTCCGTCCCGTGACATTTTGTCCAGCCCAATAACACTTCTGCCTGTACAGTAATATTTTGTCCTGTCCTGTAACATGTTGCTCTTTCCTATAACATCTGGCCCTGTCCTGAAGTATGTTCCTCTGTCCTTTAATATGTCGTTCTATCTTGAACATCTCTGTCCTGTAACATTTTTTGCTTCCCTGTAACATTTTGTCCTGTCCTGTAACATCTAATAGTTCCTGTTGTTCCATAACATTAAGTTTTGTGGTGCAAGCACCCATCTTAACGTCCTGTTTTAAATGAATGTCCTGACTGATGTGGGCTGTTCAGTCTTTCCAGGACATCTGTGATTAATTGAGTTACAGAGCTAAATGATTGAATTAAAAAATGACCTGATTAATTTGTTGTTTCCTGCTTTTAATTGTTTTTCAGGTTTATCACATGGCCGCTGTCTCTATGGATGAGAGCAGTGGTGACGGCAGCTCAGAGGGCGGGGTCACCACGTTTTCATCACCTCCACCACGTCTCACCTTTAACAGACCCTTCATCTTCATCATCTACCAACAGTCCACAAACAGCCTCCTCTTCATGGGCCGAGTTACGAATCCCACAGAGAAATGAACGAACCCCGCCCTCCTCATCACCCCATCCTTAGAAGCAGGTTACAGCGTTGCTTCCTGTTTGTTAAACATGACGGAAACCATCAACCTGAAGCATCGTTGGGTCCTGATGGAAGTGGAAATGGATCCAGAACCATAAATTCTGGCATCATTCCTCTGATTATAATATCACTTCATAGCATTGCACTACATGAAAGCACTGAGGTCATATGTCGTCATTTAGCTTCTAGTTAGCATCATATTTATTTTTGATGTATTATCTTACATGATATGAATAATAGCGAGTCACTGACTTACTGTCTTGTCATTATATCCTGCATGTTAGCTTGTATCTTAGCATCATGTTCCTCAGGAGACCAGAAGGACTCATCTGATTCAGCTCATTTTGTCCATTTCTGCTCTGCAGGACGTCATGTTTGTTTTGCCAGTGTCACTAAGGGACGTCTCTGTCGCCACCATGAATTCATGCTGGTTTTAATAAAACTTAAATAACATGTCATATCTGGAGTCTTTATATCCAAAAATTCCAGCTTTTCTTTGCATAATTAAAACAATTTTCATTCTCTTTATGGAATTACAACTATGACTACTTAACACCTTTATAGGGCGCTCAGTGAAATACTTTGAAAATCCACATTTCAAGCCAAAAGTGTTGTTGGAATCCAGGATAAAGCTTATTAAATTTGTAACATAAAAAATATGGATATTTTGATGCCAATAATGAATCTCAATAACAAGAAACACCAACTTGCCCAAATATTTAATGAATTTATATTCATGGAGAGTGGGCTCCATTTGAAAGAAAGAGGTTATGCCCTATAAAGGGTTAATCCAGAAATTATTCTTATTACAAAACTTTTTTAAAAACACATGAGGATAAAAACTAACGCTGAATATTTTCCACAAACTGAAACGAAAGCTGACTTTATATCAACCATCAGGAACCAAAACATTTCCATTACCTAGAATGAGTTCCTCTAATTTCTCATTTTCTTCCCTTATTGCAGAAAAAATGTTAGTTTGAAAGAAAAACCAAATGAAAGCTGTTTTCATTGAGTTTTTTTATTTTAAAATAATCTTTAAGTTCCATCCGATCACATTCGACTCATCTTTGGTTGTCCACTGTGATCCCCGTCCAATAAGGTCCCTCCAACCACCTGAAGGTGAGGTTTTACTGAACCAATCAAATGAAGCGGTGAGATGATTAGAAGACACAGTGCTCAGTAGGTTCAGGTCACATCAGAGTCCACTGCTTCGGTCGATGCCAAGCTGCATCCTGGGCCTCATCCTGAAACTGCTCCCAGGAAGCTGATTGGCCAGATGTGGAAGTGATGACATCATCGTCTTTAGCCTCATTCCAATTGGAAAGAGCTGGACTTCCTGTTTCTGTGACAAAAAAAAACAACAAAGGAACCAAAAGTTCAGGAAGTAGCCTGGACCAGAGCTAAACCCAAGCATCCGCAGACAATCCAAACAGGTGTGTTCATCGCTCACTCAGGTGTTTTTTAAAGATTCATGGCGACAAACATTTATGTCACCAATAAACTTACAGCTTGAATCCATCAGAGGGACTGAAATCAATGAAAAGCTGAATCTAATCACCAGAAATCTATAAATTAGATTCAAACGACTTCTTGGAGGCTAGTTTAACGCTTTACAATAAGGTACATGGAACTAAATGAACTACTAGAGAACTAATAAGGGAGGTTAACCAGTGCTTAGGCAACTACTAGCTGTTCATGTTTATTACTCCAGTAGAAGTTTGAGGATCAACTTCAGCTTTTTACTCCAGTAAAAGTGTAAAAGTACCATTTTTAAAACTACTTAAAATATAAAAGTCAAATTAATGAAAACAGAAAAACTGTTAAGGCCAGAAGCCTATTAAAGGAACATTTTTCTACAATTCTGGATCATAACTGCCTTAAACTTCATTTTCTTAGTTTTATAACTAATGGTAACAGAGTCACATTTAACTTGATAAACTATTTATTTTGGTATGTGGTGAGCAACAGGTTGGGGCAGCACCGAGTCCAACCACAAAGAAATACATTTTCTGGATGAAACTAATTATTTTGATGTTTGTTTGTTTTTTTTTTTTTATACCAGCAGGCCAGAATGAAAATGAGCTTTAATGAAACAAAACTAACGAGACTATTTTTAAAAAGTGAGGAGTAAAAGGAAAAAGTTGTCTAAAAAAGAATTACTCCAGTAAAGTATCGATAGCCAATATTTCTACTTGAGTAATTCCAAAAAAAGTAAAAAAAAAAAAAA